GAGAGAGAGAGAGAGAGAGAGAGAGAGAGAGAGAGAGAGAGAGAGAGAGAAAGAGAGAGAGAGAGAGAGACAGGATTCTACACATTACCTGTATAAATAAAACCAGCCAGGAAGTACATAATATTGTTCCCCCACTTTGGAGACTAGGAGTGAGTCACAGCCACTGTGCTCAACTTACCCTCCTACTAGGCAAGGCTGGCCTTCAAACCTCTTCGATCTAAGACAATGGTGTATCAAGTCCTAGGCTATGTTCTACTGCCCTGTCTGTCTGTTTACTATGTGTCCCAGGCCAGCCTCACACACATAATCTTCCTGCCTCAGCCTGCCAAGTGGTAAGTGTGAATAAGGTGTTTCCCCTTTAATTTTTGTGGAGGTCCCTGAGGCTCAGGTTAGTAGGGATCCTTGGCTTGAGGTCAGACAGCTGGTAAGTGAAGAGCACTCCTAGGTCCATCTGACTAACACTGGCGTGATACTCTAACTCTTAGCGGGCTTCAAGCAGGGTCTCGGACCCGCGACCCCTTTCCTTCTCCTCTGGATGTCCGAAGCCCTAAGGAGTCCAGCCGGACTAGCTCTTCTTTCCCAACCTGTGTTCCCCTGGTGGCAGTGGCATCTATGCTGCCTATGACAGTGAAGTCCCACTTCTGGAATCCCCACCTTTCACACTCGATGGCAGGGCTTTGGGGCTCTGCTGAATATTCTGTAGCTACCAGATTCGGATTCGTGCCTGTAAAATGAGAATAATAACACTTGCTTTTTGAGAGTCAGCTGAGGTGAATGAAAGGGTGGCAGTTATTGTTAGCCAGGCAAAATGTTCAGCCCTCCTTGGGCATCAGAACCTCCTGGGGAGCCTTGGAAACCAAGGATAGCTGGATCCCACCCCTGGGGACTCAATTGTCTTGGTTCTCCTTGTGCCAGGAATGGGTCCCGAGACCTTGACCACTGAGCTGCATACCCCAAGCCAGAGAGTCAGCCTGAGTCATTCTGAAGCCCGTGGGTTCTGGGAATAGTGTCTTTCCAAAGCTCCTGAGATGTGAAGTGACAATAATATCTCTGAAGTTTCACCTCGGCTTGGAGATCTGAGAATCCCAGGGCAAGAACACAAGAGGGGTGATGCTTGAGTGTTTCGAATACACAACGGCTTCCCCGTATGCAGATGGGTTTAGCGCTCACTCTCAGTACCCTCTGCGCTGTAGGCATCCTTTGTTTTTGCAGGTGAAGGGTACAATGCATAGAGATTAGTGCTCAAAGCCGCAGGGCTCCTAAGTGGAGGAATGCATCTGAGCTGACCCCAAGTCTCATATGCACTGTAGCTCTACAGAGCTGCCCGGAGCTGCCTTCAGGGCGGCTCCTCTGGGTTGCAGTCCCAGGAGGACACCTTCCTCACTGTCTGTCCTTCCTCCAAGGTCATGGACGGCAACGTCATAACTGCAAAGAGAACAGCAGCCGTGTCTGCCATCGCCACGAAGGTAAGAAGACCAGTGGCTGCACTGCGCTAGCCAGATTAGATCTGGAGAGGGGAGGAGTGTGGAACGTACTGCTGCCTCTGTTCATAGCTGGAACTCTGTGTACCAAATACGAGTTATGAAGAGAGCACAGTAATTCACAAAGTTACTGATTGTGTGCCACGTAATTCCAAATACCTCCAATGCTCAGTTCCCTATCTTCCCATCTCAAAAAGTCAAGTGGAAAGTGATTTGACTTTTTAAAAAAATTAAATGGCTCTTTAATATATTATATACTAATTATTAATAAATGTCACTATATGTTTAACTATTTCATAATTTTTTACTAATTGGTAGTATGTTTAGAGTTTGCTGAAAAAAATTATACCCTTCAAAATCTACATTGTATGTTAGAAAAATGAAATGAAACAAAATTAAAAATATTAGCATGGAAGTGACTTTTTATTTTTTGAAATGGAGTCTCACTATATTGCCCAGGTTGGACTTGAATATTTAGGCTCAGATGGCTCACTTGCCTCAACCTCCCACATAGCTAAGTCTACAGGTACACACTGCTATTTCTGACTAGAGAGAAGACATTTTCAGACATGACCTCACTGACAGGGTGACATTTCAGAGAGGACTGAAATCAGCGAGTGAAGCCCTGGAGGACCACACTAGCAGAAGGCCAAGCAAGTGGCACTGGTGATGTTCTCAGCAGTGTAGAGGCACCCTGTGAGAAGATGGAGGGTTTGTAGAGAGATAGTAAGGAAAGGAACTTTAGAATAGAGTATTAATCTAGGGTAACGGCGCAACTACAATCCCAGCAGTTGGAGATGAGGCAGGAGGATCACCATGAGTTATAGGACAGCCTGGACTACATAATGAGACCATATCTCAAAAGAGGACATGGAGGAAAATGGGGTTCTGTGGGAATGATTACAATTTGTTTTTGTTTTCATTAAGAAGGACAAGGGCTTAGAATGCTGCTTTTCCTAGGTATAACAGAAGTGCCATGGCCCAAGGGAGGGTCGGCATGGCAACTCAGGTGTCTAGGTTATTTAGAAGGTGGATGGCTCCTGAGTAACAACACCTAAGGTTAACCTGTTCTCCACAGGCATGTGCACACATACACACACACACACACACACACACACACACACATACACACACCAAATGAGATCATGTGAGTTGAGAACTGGCACACAGTAGGTCCTCAGTGAAGGCTCCTTCCTCTGCAGAGGGCAAATGGAAACAAAGTGATATCCCTGTGGTCAAGCCCACCAGCTCCTGAGGGTGGCTGAAGCCTCCTGGCCCCCTGACGTTCCGCTGTGTTTGCTTTCACCCGCTGACCTTTGCCACCCTGTTTCCTCTCAGTTTCTGAAACCCTCAGACAGTGACGTGCTATGCATCCTTGGGGCTGGGGTCCAGGCGTACAGTCATTATGAGATCTTCACAGAGCAGTTCTCCTTCAAGGAGGTGAGTGACAGTGGGGTCTGGGGAGGGAGGGGATGGGCCGGGGGCCTCTGGGTATACCACCCAGCACAGGCAAACAGCGGGGTGAGTCCGGTGTAGATCCCCTTTACATTTATGACTTCCCCATGGAGACAAGAACTGGGACGCCTGACCACCTCTTTTCAGACTCACGGCTCACAGGACACACACCTGGGCATGCCACCAGCCACCCAAGTGATTCTGTGACACTCCTTGGGTGTCAGCTGCACTTCCAGCCCCTCCCCGTGCGTCTCGTAAAAGGCTCTGAGAGGCTTTAAGAATTTAGGGCCGTGGATCCAGAATCAGATCGAGGCCTGGTGAGCAGAGGACGCAGCTTCCTTCTGCTGCTGTCAGCAGATCTCGCCACCTCCCACCTGCTGTGGCCCTCGCTTCGCTGGAAATGTTCAATGATATATATTTTTTTTTCATTTTAACGTTTGCCTGTGAGAGTGGTGGAAGTGATGTGAAGTGTGCATTTTTATGATAAAAATAATCCTGCTGTCTTGAGAAATATAGATGGTGAAGAAGAAAAAAAAGAAAATAACCACTTACCTGCTTGCAAAGACTGGCAAGCAGTTTCCAGGCTTCTCTCATCTGCGTCTTCCAGCAGCTTTAACCTTGCTGGCGGCACACAGTGTGTATCCCACGTTTCCGTCAATGGTTCCAACATCACTGTTGCAGATTACCTAAATTTTGCATAATATTTGCACATATCAGAAAATATGACATAGCAGTGACTTATTACTGGGTGTGTTGAGTCATTCATCCTACTTGATGAGCTTAGATGTAAAGCTAATTTTTCCATATTTCCTGATGAGAGAGTCTTGGGGCCTTATTTTTAGTTGAAGACTGGCAGCCTCTGACCCAGACTTTGAAACTCATTAGTAAACTCGCAAGAACACTGCTCTTGATGCTGCCAGCATCCATCTACCTCCAGCCCAGCACCTTCCAGGATTCTGTGGCTTTCATAATTGGTCTGTTTGTCAGTTACACCATTCACCTAAAATATGTTCGCTTTTTGATCCTTCCCTATACGTCATTGATCAAGCTCTTTCATGACAAAGCATGCTTTTCATGAGTCTTGTATCTGCTGACACTCCAATGCAGGGCTTCAAACATAGACTAGGTTCCACACTGTCTTTGCCCAGTTATCATTTCCATTTCACAGATGTGGAAACTGAGGCTGAATGGGAGGGGAAATCATTGCAGAGATAGCATAAAGGAAGAGTTGGTGCCAAGCCTGCATGGCTCTAGACCCTTCTTTGTAATCATTAAGCCATCAAGGCTGTGTCCTGGCCCAAGACTGGGAAGTACCCACTCTCTTTAAAGGAGAGGTCATTTTCATTTGTCTGAGCAGATATCGGTTCAAATTAATACTGTGTTCTTGATCAAATGTCCAGTCTTTAAAGACAGCTTTGTCACCACCTCAGAGCAGTGTCAGTTGGTGTGGCATACGCAGTAAAGAAATGCATCAGTGTGTCCCTTTTGTTACCCACTCTAAGGTGAGAATATGGAACCGCACTAGGGAAAACGCAGAGAAGTTTGCAAGCACAGTGCAAGGAGATGTTCGGGTCTGTTCATCGGTTCAGGAGGCTGTGGCGGGTGCTGATGTCATCATCACAGTCACCATGGCAACAGAGCCCATTTTATTTGGTGAATGGGTGAAGCCTGGGGCTCACATCAATGGTAAGTAGAAAGGCTTCGTGTTTGCAAACTGGACCCAGGCTCTGTTTGTAGAAGTGCTTTCTCCATCATACAGAATGCTCAAATCTTTTAGTTTTTCTCTGAGTCAGGGTCTCGCTATACATCTTGACTAGCTTTAAACTTGCTATCCTCCTGCCTCAGCCTCCCGAGTGTTTAGATTATAGTGTCTATCCCCAGTCCTGTCTATGCCTGCTTTTTTAAGGGTATCAGAAGTATATAAGCCTACACTGCAGTGCAAAGCGGCAAGATGGAGAATTGAAGGCTAGCCTAGGCAACTTACAGAGAATCTGTTTCAGAACCTAAAGGTGAGAGAAAGATGGGATAGGCCCAGAAAACTGTCTCAAAATGTGAAAGGAAAATTAAATGTAAAACTGATGAATAGTTCACTAATTAATGTCCTGTGGAATGGAACATTGCCACAAATGGTCAACTATAACTTCGTTCTTAAATGTGACAACATACAAATCCTAATGGACAAACAGTGTTTCATTTTGGTTTGTTTGGATGGACTATTCGAGACAAAGTCCCTCTGTGTGGCCTTGAACTTGTAATCTTCCATCCTGTGCCTCCCAAGACTTGCACGACAGGCCTGATCCACCACTCTGGTCTGAATAGTTTGTTCTTAACATATAGAACTATAAACAATTTCCAAAAATAACTACAGCACAAAAAGGATTTAACATATGGTGTTTTAAATATGTGTAATAGGAGGTGGAGTGGAGAGGGTATTCTAAACATAAGGACACTTGGGGCCTCTGAAGATCTTCAAATAACCTTAGAGATTATTGAAAGAAATGGCCTCTATAAAATACTTAACTATTGTAGATGTCTGTCGTGTGTGTGTGTGTGTGTGTGTGTGTGTGTGTGTGTGTGTGTGTGTGCATGTGAACCCTTAAGGGTTTGTAGTGTGTGTATGTGTGTGTGTTGATGTTGGATGTTCTACAGTTACTCTCCATCTTATTTTTGAGACATGTTTCTCACAGCATCCAACACTCACTAATTATCTAGACTGGCTGGCCAGAGAACTGCAGGAACCACCTACTTCTGTCTAGTGCCCACCCACCCAACAGTGTCACAGATATGAATAACCATGACCACAGTTTTTACATGGATGCTGGGTACATAATTCCACAGCAGGTACTTTACTGTTTGATCTACCTCCCAAACCCTCTTGATTGTGATATATAAATATTTCGTATGTATATATAATATATATATATGTTATATATAGTTACTTAATCCTTAGAGCAACCTTTTAAGATAAGAGACAATGATTATTATAACCCCTAGTTTATAGGTGAGTAAACCAAGGCAGGGAGACATTCAGTAACTTTCAAGAGTCAGAGACTCTTGGGGACAAAGTTGGGTTTGAACTGAGGTAGTCTGTCCTCAGAGCTGGCTCTGGGCTCTTGAACAGTACTCAACATTATCTTCCAATAAGAAGTCTGGCTTCGATTGCCAGGCAGCCATCCAGCCAATGACTGAGGATTCTAGCAGTGCCCCACCATGTAATGACAAGAACATGGTGTCATCTCAGAAGCAGAGCGCTCTGCACACATGGGCAGATGAGCAGCCAGGAATCAAGTCGAGAGATTGTGTGTTCATTCATAAATGTTTACTGGCTCTAGTCGAGAGATTGTGTGTTCATTCATAAATGTTTACTGACTCTACACCATGTGACAGCCATTGTTCTAGCTGCTGGGGGAATGCCACAGTAAATGGAGCATCTGAGGTCATGGCTTTCCTCTTGGCTTTATTCTGCTTGTGAGGAGGCTGTACAACAAACAGGATGCTGTAAGAGCCTGACAATGGAAGCAGAAGGGAGAAGTTGAGGTGGATCCTTTTGATCCACTTACCAGAAAAGCTACCTGGGGAGGTGACTTGGGGCTGTGACCCAAATGATAAGGAAGAGCAAGTCATGTCAAGGACTGAAGAGAGGGTGTTCTAGGCAGACAGAAGACTACAAGCAAGGGCTCTGAGAGGGTGTGAACACAGCAATTTGAGGACTAGGCCAAAGTGAAGTCAAGGTCTCAGTCTGCAGGGAACTGATGCCATGATACAGGTCCAGGAAGAAGCTAAGAGGTGGCTTAGTTGGCAGGTAAAAGGTGGATCGAGGTGTGCTTCTTGGAACAAAACTGTCTGGAAGGACTTGAGGAATCCAGAGGGACAGTTCTTGGTGAAATGTGTTCCCAAGGGCAGAACTGAAGCTGCAGCTGACTGACTTGGTTTTTATTTTGTTTTCAAACTTAACACAACCAGTGAGAATCCATTCAAGGTTAGGCTGGTCCTCTGCTTAAAGTCTCACAAGGATGAAATCTGTGTTCTCTGGGTTATAACCTCATCTAGTATCAAAGGTCCTCTTCCAGGTTCTTGTGGTAGCAGGGTCCAGCCCATATGCTATAGACAGAGGACCTGTTTCTGGAGGTTACTTTTAGTTCCTAAGCACCTTCTACCATCCCCAAAGCCAGCTACAATGAGTTCTTTAAATTCATTGTCTGTCTGTCTATCTATCTATCTATCTATCTATCTATCTATCTATCTATCTATCTACATATCTATTTCAATATGTATATATTTCTAGAAGGGGATGGTCTGATATGGAGTCAAGATACTTCTTTGTTCCCTTGACCTAGGGACAAAGTTTCTTTGTGTGTTCACAGATCTTTCAAATATGCTTTATTAAAGTGTGTCTCAGTGATAACAGTGAAACACCAAAGACATATTTTAGTTGTTTATAGCCCCGCTAAAGGGCAGGCCTGGCTCTAACCTCCCCCCCACATCACACTTCTTTACTCCTAGACCCACATCCCATTCGTTTCATCAGCAAGTCTTCCAAGATCTTTACTCTTTCTAGCCCCGCTGAAGCAAGGCCAAGTTCTGATCTGGGTCAGACTGCTGATTTGCTGTTTGGTCCACTTGCGTCTTCCTGAGTGGCCTCACACAGCCCTTTGGGAATTCATCCTGCTGGAGGCAGGGGCTGTCTGTAAAAAGCAGGGAAGGGGCAGCCCCAGAAACTGGGAGTTTTTCCCACCACCTTATGATTTATTTACAAGCTTCATTAGTGAGTACTGTTCTTCTATAGAATCCCTCACCAACAGCCTTCAAGATGAGCATTGTAACACTGCTCTCTGGAAATCAGAGCTCATAATGACAGGAAAGAGAACACATTAGGACATGGACAGCACTCTAAGGAGGCACATAAATGCTGCCTTGTATTTGGATAAAATTTTATAATATTTCAAAGACCACCTAGCTACCCTGGCGCTGGCTCCAGCCAGCAGCTGCTTGGTTTGGATGACAGAGTAATAAGAAATAACATATGCAAATAGATTTCCTGCTCCTCTTCATAAACAGTGGGGATGGAGGGCAGTCTGGTAACAGAGGATATGCACTCATACATAATAGTCATTAGCTGGAGCTGGATATGACTGTCCCCTGGAGAAATACGCACTCTCTTCTGTGTGACCAGGACTACAATATTTCCAGTCCCTCTGTTGGCTTTGTTCCTGTTCATTTCTTCCTGGCTCCGCAGGCATTTGGTTACAGCCTGTGCATTATCCTATGTCCTTGTAACAGGAGACATGATGCAATGGATTCATTGCTCCTGTCTGCAGAAGGACAAGGTCAATAACCAAGGCCTAACAGCCCGTTTGTGTTTTGTGGGGTGTTTAGTCTGTTTGGTTTTTTCTTCCTCCTCCCCGACCCTCCTTTTCATCCTCCTTATCCTCCTCTTCCTGTTTTTTTCTTTTAAAAAACATATGTGTACACGTGCATGACCCCCCCACACACACACACACATATGGAAGTCAGAGGACAAACTCTGCTATCGGTTCTGGCTCCTACTTTGTTTGAGACAGCATCTCTTGCTGTTCACCTGTGTGTTCTCCAAGCTAACTGGCCGCAGAGGTTCCAGGGATTCTCCTGTTTCTGCCTCCCACTGGGATGTGCACTATGGCATTGAGCTTTCTGCAGATTCTGGAGAGTTCAGTTCAGGTGGTCACATTTGCATGCTATGTGCTTTACCCACAGGGTCATTCCCCCATCATTGCTCTTCTTTTTGTCAAGACCATCTCAAGTCCAGGTTTTCTCTCTTCTCCCCCTTCTGCCAGTACTGGGGATTGATCTTAGGGGCTCACACATGCGGGGCAGGTGCTGTGCCACGGAGCTACAGTTACAGCCCTCCCGACTGTCTTTTTCTTATGGCTTCTTTGTGGCCTTAACACTGGCCTCTTTGTCAAGACTACAGAAAAAACAGTTTCGGGGGAGGAACAGGGATGACTGAGGAGCAAACCCACTGAAGATGAGGAGCAGTTGGTCTCGGTTGTGTGGCTTCTGCAGTTAGTGCCAGTCCTGGCAAGAGGAGACCCTTGAGTGAAAGCCTAGCTCTCTCTGACCCAGATTCATTGATGACTTGGGTAGCAGGCCCCTTCACTCTTCACAGCTTCAATGTGTGCATCTATGAATGGAATCAGACACTGAAGACTACGTGAGGTCCATAAATAGCATATCTGGAAAATACAACATGGACAGCATTTGCTTTAGAAGTGAGTGCTGTGCTGGAGAGATGGCTCAGTGGTTAGGAATGTGTACTGCTCTTGCAGAGGACCTGAGTTCAGCTCCTTCCATCCATGTTGGGTGGCCTATAAATCCAGTTCTAAAGAGCATCTGACCTCTGACCTACTCAGGCACCTGCACTCACATGCACATACCCACACCAGACACACACACACACACATAAATTTAAAATAATGAAAGTAAATCTTTAAAAAAAAAACAATGAGTGCTGCTAAGTGATCTTAAAATCTTGCAGGAATGAAGTAGGGTGTGAGATAGAAAAAAAGAGCTTTGGAGATGGCTCAGTTCATAACGGGCTCACCATGAGCATCAGAGCCTGAGTTTAATTCCCAGGCATGGAGGTGTGCACTTGTAATCCCAGTGTTGGGAAAGTGGAGATGGAAAAATCTCCACTGGGGCTCACTAGCCAGCCAGCTTGGCCTGACAGCAAGCTTTGTGTCTCAGTGAGGGGTTCTGTCTCACAAAACGAGATAGACAGCCATCTTGAGGACCAACACCCTTAATCTCTGACTTTCAGATGCACCTGTACATATATGCACATGTGCCTGCACACACACACACACACACACACACACACACACACACACACACACACGTAATTTTTAAAAGAATAAGGAAAAATTGTAGGTGTTTTGTTTTTTTTTAAACAAGTATTCTATCTTACTGATTGGAAAAAGCTTGGTCTAAGAGATGAGAAGGAATTCTGGTCTAAATATCCCAACTGGTCCCCTGCTCAACTCTTTCTGTTAATGCGTCCTAGGATTTTCCTGGGCTCAGAGTCTGTTTTGCTATCTTGTAGCCGTTGGGGCCAGCAGACCTGACTGGCGAGAACTGGATGACGAGCTCATGAAGCAAGCCGTGCTGTATGTGGACTCCCGGGAGGCCGCCCTGAAGGAGTCAGGGGACGTTCTGTTGTCAGGGGTGAGCCACTCATGGGCAGAACATTGACTGGCCCTGGCCTGCTTCCCAGGGTTTCACTGCTTTCCCCTTGGACCTTGGTCATCTCACCTTCTGGTGCGGAAGACATTCCTAAACATCTTGCAGCGCTTTGTAATCCCATTCTAGAAAAACATAGCCATATGGCTATGACATGTGTCTTCTTGTCCTTCTGCTTGGAGGGAGAGTTGATTTTTTTTTTCCAGTTTGCTGTGTGATCAGGCGGTGGGATGGGAAGTCTGTTGCAGCCTGGAAACCTTTCTAATATGACAGCACAGTAAGACTGTGTATCCCCTGGCTGCCTATGCCCACTTATAATCGGGATATGGAAGCAAGAAGAGGTGTCAAAGTGCATGGTCAGATACTAGCACACCAACTTCTTCACAGACAGGGACTTGGCAGGCAGCCTCCAGACACAATGATCTCTGTGTCCACGGAATAAAAAAAACACAAGTGCTGCCCCAAAAGGATACCAGAGGGCAGATGCTTCCTAACACCGTCCAGTTCACAGATGGCCTTTTCAAAAATTGCTTTTGTCCTCTCCTACTCAGGAAGGTCGTGTGCTGGCCTAGGGTGGTGGCTTCTGCCCTGGTTAGCATGCGTCTGTTTCACAGGCTGACATCTTCGCTGAGCTTGGAGAAGTGATATCAGGAGTGAAGCCTGCACACTGTGAGAAGACCACGGTGTTCAAATCCTTGGGTAAGACCAACAGATTGCCCCCTGGGCACAAATACAACCAGAGCACAAGGCAGATGAAAGGAGAAACGAATGGGTCACCAGGCTCTGTGGGTGAATGGTTGGGAAATCATGGCAGAGTCCATCATTTGGATCAATCATTTACATGTTCTGGTGGAGTAGGTGAGCCTATGAACTCTGGAGTTGGGCAGTCCTGGATTAGATTCCTTCTATAGCATGCACTGGGTATGTGACCTTAGGCAAGTGATCTAAGGTCACATATCCAGTGCACGCTATAGAAGGCCATAGTTTATTCACCACCTGTTACCTTGAGTTCTTGTGACATCAGTGAGCTATACAAGGAAAAATTTGCACACCGCCAGTGTTGTACTAAATCGCTCAGGTTAGACATAAATGGATTTAGAAGTCGATATCCCTCAGAGGAAGAGAGCAAGGAACAAAGCTGTTAACAGCTAGAGGGAAGTGATAGAGGCACCTGACCCAGCCGAATCAGTAAGCTCAGTGAGAGACCCTGTCTCAGAACAAGATGAAAGACAAATAAGATGAAGAACAATTTAGTTGAGGAAGATAGCTAACATCAGCCTACAGCCATCAACCACACAGACAGGGAAGGGCATGGAGTGTGTGTGTGTGGGGGGGGGGAATTCAAGTTGTGGTGTCCATAAAAAAAAAAATCTTATCAAAACACAGACAGACTCATTCGCTTACCTGTGACCTATGGGTACTTTTCCACTATAAGGACAGAACTGAACCGTTGTAACATAGACCATATGACTTATAGAGATTAGACTATTCACTGAGCCTCTACTGAAATGTTGCTGACCTCTGAACTAGACCTTGGAGGTTATAAAATGTGGGTATTTCTTGCTTAGTATCACATTTCTTTTCTTAACCAGCCCTTTGTATACCGAGTCTGAGTGCACCTCTGGATAGCAGTTGCTATTATCCCTATGGGCTTTAGCAGTATCCCCACACAGGGTATCAGAAGACAGCCAGGGTTCTTTGGGGCAAAGTTGTTCTGGAAGAAGAAGTGAATCAAATTTCTGTCCATTGCAGGGATGGCAGTGGAAGACTTGGTGGCAGCCAAACTCGTGTATGATTCCTGGTCATCTGGCAAGTGAGAGGAAGGAGCTGTGCACTGACCGCCATTACAGCTCAAAGGCTGTCTCATGATGGATGTCCAGATCAAAGAGGGAGCTTAGTCCCCGTGAACTGCAGTGGTTTTCATCTTTGAGTGCCGACATCCCTACTCGTGTTTGTAGTTGGGTAGCTAAACCAGGTAACTATTTCTTCTGTTACAAGGTGATGTCATCATTGCCTACTCTCCATCTCACTAGCTTTGTCTGTCTATGAAATAAAGCATTTCCATTTCTCCAGTGTGTCCTTTGATAACTTCCTGTGAAAGGGAAATGAAGGGGCCAAACGCTCACTCAATCCTTAGAGGAGGTGGAATAATATTTTCTCCATTTTAATTGAGTAGAACTTATTATAAAACGTGTGTGTGTGTGTGTGTGTGTGTGTGTGTGTGTGTGTGTGTGTGTTACCATGCTGGGAATCAGACCCAGAGACTCACACATGCTAGGCAAACACACTTCCTTATGACTTTAAGGTATATCATTCAATGGGTTTGGGTGAGGTTTGTACGGCCAAGTCCAGAATGATCCCATCCCCTGAAGAAACCTGGTTCTCACAGAATCATTGCCTGCTTCTTCCCAGTCTCTGGTTTATACTACTACAGATTTGCCTCTTCAAGAAATGTCACATACATCCAATCATATGTTACATAGCTTTATGTGTCTATTTTAAATGTTTAAAGAAACATAGGTAAGGAGGCTCCTTTGGTCAAAGGTAGCAGAAACCACAACATCATGTGATTCACTTGAACCTAGTGAATCCATGGTGAAAACAATCCATTGGTTCTTTATAACTGAGAGACCAGTGGCTCCATAAAGAGACCATGTCTCATGATCAATAGATTAAAAAAAAAAGTATCAGGAGTCTTCTATTTAGGTTCATTCCCCCAATCTGACTGATGAACTCTCCTTACTATGTAAGCTGTTGTAGGATATGGAGACAGTGTCTCAGGTGGTTTCTAGGGAACCAGAGGGGATCCAGGCATCTAGATGATAGGAGACAGAGGCAGGCTCAGAATTCCTTCCTATGACAGCTGCTCTTGTGCCCATTATTGAAGTCAAGTACAGCTTTAGTCCATAACAAAACACAGTATTTGTAAACAACTACCCCCTAATGTAACATATCCAATATGACATATGCTCCCTGAATCCACTCACAGAAGGAATGAGTGAGTTCATCACCTTTGAGCATCTGTATCATGCATGGAGCCTCCTGAAGTAACTCAGATGTGGATGGGAAATCAGCTGGCCAAAAAAGCTTTTCTAATATTACACATACAGTCAATGGTAAATTCTACCTGGTGGTCGTCTGGCTACAGAATTCCAATAAAACTTAGCTATGGCTTAGGAGTGGTTTCAATTTGAGACTGCCTTTTAACAACTGTCAGTATAAAAAAAAATGCAAGATTTTGGAGAGAGGATCTGTATACATTGCTGGTGGGAAGGAAAGTGAACCATGGAAATCAGGGTGGCAGCATCTCCAAAAACTGAAAACAGAGCTCTCATGTGACCCAGCTATCCCAGTCAACGTATCACACAGACCTGCACATCCACAGTTACTGCTGCACTGTTCACAGTAGCCAGGAAATGGGAGCAGCTGAGATGACCATCAACAGATGAATGGAAAAAGAAAATGTAGCACATTACACAATGGACTTTTATTCAGCTGTAGAGAATGAAATTAATATATTTTCAGGAACCAACCAAGGATTGTTAAGGAAAATAAGCCTCACTCAGAAAGACTAGTATCCATTATTTTCTTCTCATATGCACAATCTAGATGTGTGTGTGAGAGAGAGGGGGGGGGTATTTAAAGAGGTGTAGAGTGAAGAGAAACAATAGAGTAAAATGGAATATAGGTGTGTGCAACTATTACACACACACATTTATACATTGTGTAATATATAGAGATTATATAACCATCGTGTAGCTGCTTCCTCTGAATTGAAACATTACCTGTTGGAGGGAGGAGAGAGTCTCAGAAGACTCGAAGCTATAGAGAATCTGCCAGGCTCAGGAAGCTTATGAAAATGATAAGATTCACAAGCCCCCTCCCAAGGTTGTGAAAGCAGTTACTCGGGAGAAAAGGTTCTCTTTGGCAGAGCTGCCTACAACCTAAGGCAGGAGCTCCAGGACGCTCCCAGGACGGGAATCATCACTCAGGGTAGAACTGTTTCTCTGGTCTGTCATTGGTGCCCTATCCCGCGGGGAATAGACATTTGTTCATGATTAAGACAGAATGGTTTGTTTCACTTTTATCACTTCAGAGGCTTTGCTTGGACCTGTGGCAAGGGGATCCATTAGAAGCATGTGGCAGAAGAACCCGTTCACTTACGGTGGTTGGAAAGAAAAGAAAGGGAATATTTGAAATCTCAATATCCACTTCAAGGGCATGCCTCAATGACCTAACTTCCTTCTACTATGCCCTGCCTGGGGGATGGATGTCTACCTCTTCCCCATAGCTCCACAGGCAGATGGCAAAGCCATTAGCACCTGAGTCTTGGGGCTACATCTAAGATCTACACTATAACATGCACTGACCTAGAGAACAGCACCTCTGGTACACACTAACAGTGAAGGCATGCATGGCAAGCATGGGTATGTAAAACTAACTTTGGTCATCAATCTTCCTGAAAACTGAACTTTTTCTCTCCCTTTTTAAATCTCAGAAGGTGTTTAACCTCTAGAAAGACTGTGAAATGGGACAGGCATTGTTTTCCTGAATCCTTCTTGCTCTCTCTCCCTTTTCTACCCTCTTGTTTACACGCCACACTTGTCTGCCCAGGCTGCCATAACAAAACCCTGCAGGCAGATTGGCTCAAACAACAGAAATTGATTTTTCGCATCTCAGGAGGCTGGAAGTCCAAACTATTGTCAAGTTTGACTTCCCTGGGAGGTGGGGGCTGGGGGTGCTCTCATTGGCTGATTGACAGCTGTCTTCCTGTGGTTCTCTTTTCTTCCTATGTGAGCACACCCTTGATTTATCTTCCTTTTCTTTTAAGTCACGTGGAATTAAGAGCCCACCCTTATAACCTCACATAACCTTAATCACCTCTTTAAAGTACTAGTTCCAAAAATACTCAGAGGTTAGGGCTTCCATACATGAACTTTAGAAATTCATTCCACAATAGGCACCCCACATTTTCTTTCTGCCATCCCCCCACCTGCTACACTCTCCTGATTCTTAGACAGGAGTACTAGAAACCTAACCCTGTTGCTTGTAAATATCTGTTAGATTAGATCCATTTAAGTTGGGCTTTGCACTTTAGACCAGTGAGAGCCTTTGGTCTAGACAGACTGTAAACTCATGAAAAGAAACACTGTTTTCTTGTTCCAAGGTCTCCTGACTTTTATTTTTTAACTGATGGTTTGCTTGAATACAGACTATCTCCCAGAGTCTGGGCCTCTGTTTTGAAGGTCCTCTTTAAAACTTTAACACCTATACCCAGAGGTCTTTCACTGGACAAAGATCAGGTCCAGGGTGCTTCCTGTGGTCCTCCCAAGGGAACTCAGCATGACCACATGCTCAGGTCACCCTGCTCACCAGTGGCCTCCATCAGAGGCTGGTGTCCACCAGCTGCCCAGGCTGCTGGAGTGTCTGCTTCCTCTTGTCTATGGCGTTGAGGACTTTCTTTCTGGGGCCCAGCTGCATGTGGATATTCTGAAGGTCCTCGTCAGAGCAAAGCAGCAGGGCTTCTAGGTCCATCTGCTCTCTCATGAACATGGGAAGGAATTCCTCTAGTTGCTGAGACTGCAAGAACACTTCCAGCGGGGTGGCGTCCACCACATCCTCCTCCCATTCTACTTCTTCGTCCCAAGGAAGGTCACCTGCAGTACTGTTTGCCTCCCCCTCTTCATCCTCCTCTTCATCAGCTGCTCCTGGTCTTTGGAACAAGTCACTGGGTATTTTAAACCCCAGCTCCCTCTTGCTGTCTGCGATGTCCTCAAGGTCCAGTACTCTGTTCCTTCTAAAAACAATACTCCCTAGCCCTGGGCGGTTGAGAATAGACTCGTGTTGTCCGTCCCTGGCTTTCTCTGCTGACAACTGGAGCTTCTCTCTGACGTCCTCTGGAAATGAGTCTTCCTCCTCCTCTCTGAACACTTCCATTACATGCCTCTGCCCATTCCTGCCTTCCTTCTCCACCTGCTCTGCGGTATCTTTGTTCTTCTTAAATTTTATCTTAAAGGTATCTTTGATGCCTTTAGACAGTGACCCAAATCCACCAGCAGAAGCCTTGGAAAGCGACGAGCTGGGGAAGGTGCCATGGAAAGAAGAAAGAGTCCCCGAGTCCTCCTTGCTGTAGGTGCGGGCCATCTTGTTTTGGTGCCTCTCCTGAAGTCGCTCACATTCTTTCATCTGCCTCCTGGCATTCCTCAGAGCCTGCTCCTTCAGTCGGGTGACCTTCTTGGGGTTCGTGGTGTTCTGTATGGTGGCAGCCTTATCCAGGAGAGCAACACATTCCTTCTGCTCCCTGCTGGCAGCAGCATCCAATGGGGACTTCAGGTCATTATCTAGGGCAAAGATGTTGGCACCAAAGTTGACTAGAAATGAGATGCAGTGGGTGTGGCCATTGGAGGCTGCATAATGTAGAGGAGTATTTCCCCAGATGTCGCACTTATCAGGATCCCCACTAGAGATGAAAATACGAAAGATGTATGTTAAATTACTTTTTCACTGAACATGAGGTCTATAAAGAAAAACAAAAACAACCAACAAAATGCATGTTTATCCTGCCTTGACACTGACATATGATGGCTACTGAGTTTAGCTGTGTCAGAGCCAGATACCAGATGGCCAGAAGTAGAGAGCCATCTCCATGCTAGGCCTTCCTTTTAGAAGAAGAAAAAAATAAAAAATAAAAAACTTCCCAAAAAACTTCCTGGCAGAGTCACTTTCATATCACATTGGCCAGCGTTGGATCACATGACTCAGAGAAAGGAAATATAGTGTCATGCCTAATTCTAATTGAGCTCAGTTAGAAGCCCTGAAACCAAGAATAATATCACCCAATGGTATACTCTTGAATGTTTGGCAGTGGGCTCATTCATGGAAAAAACATCAAAGCCCTGATTTATAGCATGTATGATAATGTATGTCTGCCCACCATGAGAATCTTCATGTTGCCACATCACCTCACTGGATACAGAGATTAGAAGAGACAAGCAGTAGTATGCTATTTTACTTCCACCATAAAAATTTATAGAAATCTGTAACTTCAGAGCACACACACAAGAAAAATACTGAACTAACTATGAAGTGGTGAGTTTCAAGTGCTACATTTTAATAAAATGTGTTCAATTGTATGTTTAAATAATTTCAATGATTTCTGTGTTTTATTGGCTTTCAATTATCCTGACAACTTAGCAGTATTCTTGGAGGACTTGGAGAGAGCTGATTCTAGCCAATACATCAGCCCTCCCATGAGTCAAAAGCAGAAAACAAAAGAACAACAACAACAAAAAAATCAATCAGAAAAAAAGAGCTTCTATTTCCTGTGAAACCCTGAGATACAAGTACAGATCCTACTGAAGGAGAGCAGGGAGATGAATTGAAATAGCTCTCACCACTGCTGGTGGGAAACTAACACAGAAGCAGAAAAGATCTACACCCTTGCAGAGGATGCTAAGGTACCATACTGATTCTACTCTGAGGAGTGTTTTGACCCAAACATACTGGCAGCAGCAGCAACAGATTACCCATGGTGTCAATGAAATGCAGAATTTGGAGCCTAACCCAGACCTACCGAATCAGAAACTAGAGCTTGACAAGATCTTCAGGTGATTCACAGGCTCCCTATGTATTAACATATGTTTTACATATGTGTTAACATATATGTTTTACATATGTTAATACAAATATTAGCACGTATGTTAATACAAATGTCCCTATGTGGCACAACCTATAATTTGATAACTCAGACTTGGGTCGCCTCCCTGTAAACCCCTGGCTACCTCAGTTCTGAACCAACCACCATCCCAGGAGTAAAGTAAGACTCTTGGAGGGTGCAGTTGTTTTGAATGATGGTAATAGGCAGCACACTTCCATTTTTACTTTTGCAGCACTAAGGGTAGAGTCCAGGGCCTCATATGTGCCCGCCACGTGTTCTACCATGGAGCTATATCCCCAGTCCAACAGGTGGCATCCCTTGGATCAGGCCTGTCTCATGTTTAACCATCTGTGTCATAATAAAAGTCTTACATGAATATAACCCAGCTTGTCCACTTAACCAGCCACAAGTGTTCCATCCTGTTTATGGAGAATAATAATAATGCCTCTGATAGAGTTTTTGTGTGAATTTAAACACATACGTAACACAGAACAATGCTCGGTAAACTATGCATATATACATTCAATATACATTATCATCATTGCCCTTTTCACCACACTCATATATTTATCTTTTCTCGTGGCCACTTGGTCAGTTTCTACCACTATAACACTCTTTGGGGGTTTTTAATTTTTAATTTTTTTTTCAGAAATTAAGTGCGTTTGTTTCCTGTGTGCATAGGTGTGGGCACGAATGTCCCACAATGTGCATATGGAGGTCAGAGGGCAATTTTACAGTAGTTAGTTCTCTCCTTTCACCATGTGGGACCCAGGGGTCAATCTCGGGTCACCAGGCTCAGCAGCAAACACCGTTCCCCACAGAGCCATCTCCCCCGTCATGTGTTTGTTTATTTTTGAGGTAGCACCTTGCTCTGTGTCTCAGACACGCTGGAACTCACTATGCAGTCCAAGCTTGCCTCAGACTTGTGCTGATCCCTCACAGCAGCTTCCCCAGTACCAGGACTACAGGTGCAAACCACCATGCTGGCCTAAGTATTTACAGGGTTATTTTATTTATCAAGTTGATGTGCTCCATTTACCCAATTAATTTTCCCAAGAGGGAAAAGCCTGCATTATGTTTCTCCTTTTATCATCCATAGTTTCTAGCAGAAATCTCAAAATCTGCCCCAAGAGGACACACACCTGGGTTTCTCAGCAAAGACCGAGATATGCTCACGCTCCTAGAAACCTCAGCAGCAGAGCAGCTCGGGCTATGCCCTACTGAAGCAGAAACGGTGTTACCACGTCCACTTTTCAAATGAAGGCTCAACTCCAGAACTTCGTGGAATGTATTTAAATGTTGGCTCAATTTTAAAAGGAAACCACAGTGAAATCTAAGTAAAGCTATATCCAGCCACAGGCCAGCCTCCTGTTTCACACAGAGAACAGCATGGGCACAGACAAGAATGGATGATATCACATGGCATATTTGGGGAACCCAAAGTGTACATCAGTGTGACCAGACAGCATGGAGTTATGGGTAAAGGAATGGATACAGGATGGAAAGGAAATGAAATTGAATCTAAGGAAAGCAAATGTTAAATAATGCTGTTCTGTCAGGGAGCCTCTGTTAAGAGGGCCCTAGCCAGTTAGCCCAATTTAATTATTTTGGATCAAAGGAGACCCCCCTTCCAGCCTTGGCACATTCGAATCTTTGGGGAGCACAGTTCCTCATCCCCAAACACGTGGTTTCACTTTTTATTTACTTAACTGAACACCATATTCAAAGGACCCCTTAAGTACCCTAGACATCAAAGCAGAGCTGGAAAAGAGCCAAGATGAGAGTATGGTATAAACAAAAACACACTGATTAAATTTGCCTGAATTATCCTTGGATTGGCTACACTAAAGAAAAAGTACTGGGCAGGGTGGGTTGTAGCGGGAAGTAACAGGGTGCTAAGAGTCTGGGTTAAATCCATACACTTCAGGCAGAATGGAGTGAATGTTCCCAACTCAGTGGGTCTTCCGTGATGCTTTTAAGATACAAAGAGGCCTGAGATGGGGCAGAGGTGGATCTTCTTTAGAGACAATTTCAAATGCAAAATTCCAATGAAATTGCCAGGAAGATGATCCATTGGTTTCCCTAGTGCATCTAAACCCTAAGGACAGGTTTTCAATTGATATGAAAATGTATTAATGTCAAGCTTCATGAAGTCTTTCTAAATCTAATCACACTCTCCCCTGCCTCTATCTGTTTGTAAGGAGTCTTTCTATGTAACTAAAGCTGACTTTCAAGGCTGAATCCTCCTACCTCAGTTTCCTGGGATTTTTCTGGGATTACAGGCATGCACCACCATGCCTGACTCACACGTCTCTGTGTGTGTGTGAGTGTGAGTGTGTGTGTTCCAGTGTGTACACATAGAGGGCAGAGGTTAACCTGGTTGTCTTTCTCAACTGCTTCTCCATCTTTGTTGTTTTTGAAACAGGGTCTTTCACTGAAAGCAGAACTCACCAACCATCTAGACTGAGCGACCAGTGAGCCCCCAAGATGTCCTCTCCCTGCCTTTCCAGAGCTGGGACTCCAGTGCATTTTATTAAATGCAGCTTTCTGGCTCACAATTCTTAGCAGCACCATGCAGATACCTGCCCAGCCATCTAAAACCAGCACCTTTGTTGGATGGACTAAATCTAATGCTAATATCCTATGGATTCTTTAGGACAGATTCAATCTAGTGTTAGTATTTTTTCCCAAAAGAGAAACTCTCTGAGAAGCAATTTAAAATAAGCTATATTTTGCCCTTGATTTTTTAGTAAGCAATCATTTTGATCAATAATTTTTAAATCAGCTTGTTATTGTTGCTAAGTGGGTAATTTGCTTAAATTACAACACTCTAGGCATCTGCTCCATTCCAATTTCTTCTTTTGAAGCTGATTTTAAATATGTGTAAAGCTGTTCTCAGAAAATAGTAATTCCATCAAAAATGGTTTTTCTACATAAAAAGGAATTATTTGGACTTATAATAATGAAGGAAATGCCAATTAAAACCATACACTGCCAGTGTTTGCCTATCCAACAGGAAACGATTGAAAACTGTCAGTTGTTTGGTTTTAGTGGGATCACAAGGAGAGGACCGTGCTGGGAAAAGCATTATCTGGCTCAGATTTCTTGGCAGGATATACATCAAAAGACCAGGGCACCCCTAGAATCTACTGTTCTACTTTGAAGACTTTATCCCAAGGAAATGTGAGGCCTTGGACAAAGCTGAATGAGCAAGGTTGTTCCTTTCAACTCTACTTGTAACAGCCAAAAAGACAAAAAGTTAAGTCTCTGCACTGAATTGAGACGGAATAAAATGTTATGAATGGGCAGCTAATTGAATAAATTACAGAATCAATTTGCCTGAACCAGTAAATGAATGAAAAAAGTGTATATGTGTGTGCACATATGTGCACATATGGAATACTATTTTGCCTTAAGGAAAAAGAAAATCCTACATTTGGAAACATGGATGAGCCTGGGGGACATTATGTTCAGTGAAATAAGCTAGGCACAAAAAGACAAACACCTCATAATTTCACTTAAATGTGGATTCTAAAAAATATGGGACCTATAGAAGTCTCTTGAGTAGACAGCAGTTGGGGGTAGGAAGAGAAGTACAGTGATAGAGACTTAAAGATACAAAATGTCCATTAAGAAGGAAGAGTTCAAGCAATTCACTCTATAATGTGGTGAGGACATAAAAAAGACAATGCTTTACATACTTGAAAATTGTTAAGAAGATATATTTTAAATATCCTCACCACAAAAATGATAAGTGTGCAAGTTATCATATAATTAGCATGATCCAATCATTTCATAATACAAATGTATTTAAAATACCATATTGTATATCATAAATACATGCACAATTTTGGATCCAGGGACTTGCTATGAAGTCTGGGCTGGCATCAGTCTCACAACCTTCTTGACTCAAGGTGCTGGGAATATAGGCATGCACTATCATCATGTGTGGCTGTGCAATTTTTGATAGTTTAAAATAAATAAATAATGATAAAAACAATAGAATATCATGTAGTCATGAAAAACAGTGGTATGCATGTCAACTTTTAAGTGCACAATGTTAACGATATATTGTTATTTTATCATTATGCACTATATGATTGCCTTTTTAAAGAAAACAATACACTTGTGAAGGTGTGCAAAAGAAAATTTTGGAAGATCATATTTATCAGCTAATATTTTGGAATGAATGACCTTCAAGTTAGAATTATGTAGCAGAGATTGACACATTTATACATACAAAATATGTAACATATTCCTGTATCCCATAAGTATATATAACATATTATATATGTGTACATTTATACTTTATTTATAGTTAAAGTATCAATTGTTAAAATACTAATTGTAAGCATATTTATAAAATACATATATATTATATATGACAAATGGTTCAGATTGTTAGCTGTAAAAGCATTTTGAAGGCTGTGGGGATGGCTCAGTGGGTAAATTAGTTGCCCTACCAGCATAAGGCCCCAAGTTCAGATCCCCAGAACTGACATAAAGCCGGATGCAGAGGCATATCTGATGCCAGGGCTCCTCCGGCAAGATGGGAGGCTCATGGGCAGCTAGCCTGTGAGTAACAAGAGACTGCAGAAAACTCAAACACGGTAGAAAATGAGGACGGACACACGAAGCTCTGACCTCCACGTGTGCACGGTGGCATGCTGGCACCATCACTCACGCTTTACACACACACACCTTTGAAAATCAATGTTATAAACCAATGTTGAAGACCCCATTATAAAAGTGGGGCAGGGTTACAGATACACAGCTTGCGAAGGTGGAAATGCAATGGCGGTTCAGCGCTGGACTTTTCATCCTCACCAGGAACCCCACCTTTCACCTTGTGGAAGGGGTTCCTTATCAAGGGAGGGAATTTGCTTTTTCATTTTGTGTGTGTGTGTGTGTGTGTGTGTGTGTACCCCTTCTTCAGTCTCTTCTACTGTGTGAGGACTCCACCTTTCTCCCCTCCAGAGGCGGCAGCGCTAAGGAGCCATCTTGGAGGCAGAGACTGGGTCTCTCTAGGCACTGAACTTCTTGCCAACTTGATCTTGGACTTCTGTGCTGCTCTTAGAACTATGAGAATAAGTTCTATCCTCTAGAAATTACCTTGCCTGAGGCATTCTGTTATCATAACAGAAGTACTGATTAAAAAACTTCAGTTCTGCCGGGCGGTGGTGGCGCACGCCTTTAATCCCAGCACTCGGGAGGCAGAGCCAGACGGATCTCTGTGAGTTCGAGGCCAGCCTGGGCTACCAAGTGAGTCCCAGGAAAGGCACAAAAGCTACACAGAGAAACCCTGTCTCGAAAACAAAAAAAAAAAAAAAAAACTTCAGTTCTGAGAGTTGGACAAAGATTATATAGAAAAATAATCATCACAACACTGAAAATTAGAAAAAAAATGTGTATCCAACATAGGGATAACCTAGGAAGCAAATTTGCTGATTATAAAACTAAAGTGTCCCTATAAATTAAATTAAGGAAGTGTGTTCGATATTTTATTGCTGTAACAAATAACTGAAGCATTGACTGAAAAGAGGAAAGATTTATCTTGACTTAAGCTTTCAGAAGATGTAGTGTAGACAGTGGGCATGCTTTTTCTGACATGTCCCTCGATTCAATGAGGTGCCCATATCTACGATCTGTTTAATGAAAACATGGATGTTGAGCCTCTTCCCCTTTATTCGCCCACATCTAATCACCAGCCATTCGGCATCCAAACTGCCACTGGAACCTGCCTGTGTCTACCTATACCCATTGTCACCATGTGAGTTCAGTTCACCTTGAATGTCCTTAAACATTCTCTGTAACCACTGTGTAATCACTGGAACAATATTTATAAGCATAAATCTATCTGAAGGCTTCCTCTGTAAATACAGGGTGTGGTTTCCTGGCACTCAGGATGAGGTTCAAGTCCTTAACAGAAATTCAAGACTCCTGTTGTCTGGTTTTATCACTTAGGCTTGTCCTGTCGCTGTGCAAGTCAAGTCCAGCCAAACTCAACGTCTTCCATTCGTGGGGTGCACCGTGCTCTGTCTTAGAGGAAAGATGCTTCCTTCAGTCCTTGGTCATCTGCTTGTCTTTCTAATACAAGCTTCACTTCCCCTCTCTGGAACAGGCTCTGTTATGTCTGCCATAAGCCACCTGTTTGTCTTTCCCTTTCAAATCTGATTTCCACGACAGAAACCAGGACATTCTGTTGATCAGTGTCCTCTAGACAGCACCACAAATGAAGGGGAGAAGAATCAGAGGAGGAGGAAGAAAGAGGAAGAGGAGGGAGAGGGGGAGGAGGGAGGGAGGACTGTCACCTACCAGACACTAACTGTACGGAATGCATTCACTTGGCTCCCTTACCCCTCCCCTCCTCTTCCTCTTGCTCTTCCTCACTCCCTCCCTCAGATTTCTCTCTTGCTCCATCTCTCCCTTTCTTAAGGCACAGCTGCCAACCCTGACTAACTAGCCTTCTGATCATGGGCAGGACAAGCAGAATAAAAGAGTTAGCAAAGGCTTGAATTAAAATTTAGGGGTGGGGTGTGTCTGTCTGTCTGTCTATTTCTATTTCTCACTCTCTCTCTCCCTCTCCCCCTCCTCCCTCTGTGTGTGTCTGTTTCTCTTTCTCCTCTTCCTCTCTTCCATCTCTGTGTGTGTCTATCTGTCTGTGTTTCTCTCTCTCTCCCTCTCCCAGCTGACCCCTGTGTGTGTGTGTGTGTGTGTGTGTGTGTGTGTGTGTGTGTGTGTGTGTGTGTGT